TCCCACACTTATGAACAGTCTGCACTGATGGTTGCAATCCCACACTTATGAACAATCTGCACTGATGGTTGCAATCCCACACTTATGAACAGTCTACACTGACGGTTGCAACCCCACACTTATGAAGAGTCTGCCCTGATCGTTGTCCCACTGGCAGTGATTTGTGCAGGGGCTCACACATCTCATTATCTTTCCTCGGGTCCTTTCCAAGCGTTTACACAGGCTACTTTGTTTTACATTTGTTTTTCCTTTACAAGCTATCATGTCGAATTAAAAATATATTTATGCAGGGAGGTCATATATTTTTGAACTTTGTGTCAACATAGTAAGAAGGTGTTACAGAAGAGATATAACAAAAAGAGGCTACTGAGCTGAGAACCCAGTGATCCAAGGTGTGAGACATGCTTTGGAAACTCTACCTTTAGGGTAGAAAGAAGCACCAAGGATTTAGACAATATGCAAAAGGTATAGAATGAATTTAATGCCCATCATTCCTGCCCACTGTTCCTCTTTCACTAACTGCTGCTGGAAACCCTACTTGGAGTATTGGCTTAGCCCAGCCCAGGGATCACTTCCTGCAGGAAGCTTTCCCTAACTAACTCTCCCATGAGATGTGGGAGACGTCACAAGAATTTCCTGGGTCTAAGTGGGGGATAGATTGAAAGAAGCCTTGCAAACCAGATTGAAATCCATGTTTCCATAGAAACTAACTCTCTGCTCAGCAGGGCCCAGTCCATATCACCCCTCAGACTGAATGGCAGTGCTGGCCCTCCAACTTTAGCAAAACTAACAGTGCCATCTTTGTGCGTGCTGCCCTTCATGCCTCTGTTGTCACCACACAGATTGAATGTCATTTTGTCATCACCTGTTCTCACACTGGACTGTGGATTCGTAGAAAGTAGACTGGGAGACTCTTGCCTGTTGCCCAGCACAGGGCCTGACGCGTGATAGGGACTGAACCCAGGATAGAGACCTGGAGCTGGATCACAGATTTAGAACTCTAAACCAAGGCCAAGAAGTTTCCCTTACTACAAAAACCCTTATTTCAAGTTTCGCTCGAAAGGGAAAATTTACCGTGAGGTTCAAGGCTTCTCTGTTCCTCATGAATATTTAGATGTAGTAGTTCCTAATGTTTAAGCATTTTTATTTGTGGTATTGTTGTTGTTTCTAAAGACAAAGGCTCACTATTTTGATCAGGCTGCTCTTGAACTCCTGAGCTCAAGGGCTCCACCTGCCTCAGCTTCCAGAGAAGCTGGGGTGACAGGCACATCTGCTGTGCCTGGAGACTTTCTGCTGTTAGAATGAGTTCCATGTTCTGGGTGTGAAGGATGGTGCAGGAGTTATTTCATTACTGTGAACGGCAGATAGATTATATCGCAAAGAAAAGAAAAGTCATTCCTTCCAAATCCCTAATCTAGAAAAAAGGCACCAGAAAAAAAGAAAGAAAGAAAAAAGCTGTAATGAGAAATAAGATAGAACAAGGGTGATAGTTTCAAGATGGAGAAGCGCCAGCTGCTAAATATTAGGAAAATCCTCTGCAAACAAACAGTCCTCCCTGTGCGGCTGAGTCCTGGCTTTCTCTCTGCTTCCTCTAGACCAGTGATTTTCAATGGGGGTGCCCAGGCACACTGGGGTGCCAGGAGAGGATCTTAGATGTGCCGAGAAAAATGTTAAAGATCGTTAATTATTTTCGAAAGGAATTCAAAGCACACTAAGTACATCCTTTAATTTTTTTCTTTTTGATCAACATAATTTAAGTGGGCCACCAAAGTTTTAACTATAGGCTCAAGGGTGCAGGGAGATTAAAAAAAAAAAGAAAAAGGCTGAAAAACATGGCTCTAGCCAAAAAACCCATTTTGAAGGTCTGGTCAGCTTGCCCGGACAGGCCTCCTGGAAGCAGGAAGTATAGATAAGCTTCTGGCCCCTGGGAACCAGGGACCCATGTTCACCTCCCAGCTCAAGAAGCAAAAGAAAGCAACCTTTCACAAGCTGCCTAGTCTAGCTCCACCTTGGAAAATGGACAAAGGAGAACAATAATATCTTAATAGGATTCTCCCTTCCTACCTCATTAAGACCTTAACACTTGCTCTGTGGACATCAACATTTGCTAAATGTTAAGGTGTACCCCCCCCCATCGTGTATTTCTATATATACACCTCTATTTTTTTTTAATGAGGATTTTTTTTTAATTCTCCAACTAAAATAATTAGGCTAGATTCTATCCAGACAAAAGCTAGTGTGTTCAAAGAGCAGAACTGAATGTGCATCAGAAATTGTGTGTGTGTGTAGCACTTAACACAGCTACAGCCGTTCAGAGCAGTTCAGCCAGCACTTGGTCCTCTTCCTTCTATTTTAATTGTTATCTCAAGTTTTTTTTTTCCACCACAAGGAAGTCAAGTTCTCGTTGCACTGTGATGTATTTTTTAGGTATGCAGAAACGCAGTTCACTTGCTCAGACTCCACGTAAGTAACTACCACACAGTAAAGACACAGGAAGGCTAATAAATATTTTGCCTTGGGGCAGTCGAGTATAATATTTTCTGCAAACATTGGACTTTATTTTTCCCCTAACAGGGGGTCTTGACTCCGACGACGAGATTCTGCCAAGGTTTATGGAGGTAATTAGATATCAACGCTGGCATTTTACAATACGGTTTAGGGCCCCGGGTTCTGGGGTGGTAAGCAGGAGGTTTCGGGATGCAGCATGCGTGGAAGACACAAGCCTGTTTGGGGGGAAATCCGCATTTTGCAAAAAATGCCCTTTAATGATGTGCAAAGAATAACTGGGAAGCGGAAAGCCTGTGCCAGGCATCAGACTGGAGTGGGCCTGACAACACCCTTCAGCAAGGCCTTGACTCTAAACTGAGAGGGATCTAATTTCAGGAGACTGAGGCCCCTGCTTTCCAAATTCATCTTTTTAATGAAATTAAGACTGGAGATCTCCAGGGTTGGCAGGAATTACACTGTAGTTAAGGAGAGAACAAAGACGTCGCATGGAACACCGTTTGAGACGCAGATTTACAGAGGGAAGTGAGCAGCTGAGGATTCCACGTAAGCCCCCATTAAATACCAGCTCATTTAAACACATCCCGCGGTGCCCTCCACATCTGGTAAACGATTGGGGCTGGCAGATTTATTTCCGAAGCTTTCTCTCCCGCCTGCCCCCGTGGTAGGCTCCCTACCTCCTTTTCCGGGGCCCCTCCGCTCTCTTTCACAGACCCGGTGTGATTCGCAAAGATAAGGCCGTCCAGATTTTGTTACCACCTAATTACTAGATGTTCCATGTCTTTTAACACGGGGGAGGATTATTACCGGCATTTTCCTTTCATTTCAGCCCTCATAAATTTAAAATGGTAAAAGTAAATCTATCTGCCGTGTGTCACTTATACCATAAGCCCCTGTGTTTGGGAGTGATAAAGGGTTCAAGCTAACCCTTGGCTGGTCTCTCTCTTCCAAGTCCCAGGGGTTACATTTTATGGAAGTATGATTAAAAAAATAAGCTTCATTCTGGGTCACTAAAACATTTCAGGACTTAAGACGGAGAAGGAGGAAGAAAAAAGAGGCACTTGCACATTTTTTTTTTTCCTTAGCTTCTCTAAGATGGAAAGCGCTTCCCTCTATCCCCCACGGCTCCCGCACTGAGAAAATTCAAAAGGAAAATCTCCCTAATGAGTATGAAATCCAGCCTCACCCGACAAGTCCTTTGTTTCTTTCCAAGTACTTCTCTGAGTTTAGACAAATTGTTGTTTATCCAACTCCAGAAACAAATATGCTGAAAATCCGATGAAATTTTCAAATGTCTTTTTTAGTCAATTGAATATTCTCCGAATGCTGATGGAAAGGAAGTGCCATCTGATGTTTTAATTGAAATTTTAACCAAAAGAGGCATGGCCAGATTTCTAATATGCTCTAACTACAGTACTTCCCTTTCTGCAATTACGCAGCTAATGTCTGCATTGAATTCCCTAATTTCTCATTATAAAACAATTGGATTTCATCTCGCAGTCTTTAATTGCATTGTTTCTCCTGCTAGAATAACTGCACATTCTTCTTGGTGAGATGGTGAAGTTGCTGAATTACAAATCAATAAAGGTCACGCCATTCAGATTTCATCAATTATTATTCCATCTCTAAGCAAAATCAATGAGGAGCTCAAAGTATAGTTGTAAAAAGAATCCGCACGGTTACAGCTGGTCCCCCCCGCCCCCCAACACACACACATGATCCTCCACGATCACAGGGACACACGAAAAAGATCTAGAAAAATGTAAGCCCAACTGAGAAAAGCAAGCTGGGTGAGGACACCCACACTTCTCAGATGAGTGCCGATCAAAATTACTGCCAGAATGAGAGCCTTTGCGGGAATGTTAGCTGGGATGAGAAAGGGGATAAGAGAAAAATAAAATAAAATAAAATTCTAACTTACCTATGGGACTCAGAGGAGACCACAATGACACGGGCAGGGGCCGAGCGGCACAAAACACCCTGGAGGAGCTGGACCAGGTAGAAGTGGCCCAGGTGATTCACCTGAAAGGTGGTCTCCAGGCCATCCTTCGTCAGGCTCCAGGGCAGAGCAAAAGCCGCTGCATTGCACACAAGCACGTGAAGTGACCTGTAGGATACAAGGGTCAAGGTCATGAGGACAGAACACTCTAAAACCAAGCATGATCCAACAGTCAAGGTCATGCAGACAGAACACTCTAGCATCATCCACGCTCCTTCAGGTAGAACCAACTCCTTCCCTGGCTGTGAGATTCTCATCATTTCAAAGTGGAAGGCCCTAGGCAGAACACCGTATCATCGTCAGGGGGGCAACTGTCCCCCATTGCCAGGGACGAGAGGTTTCCTCAGACACAGGCTCTTCACTTCAGTGCCCAAACCAGGAGAGTGTGAGACCGACCACAGCAGCTGGTCACGCCCTGGTTTGAACTCACATTCTACCACCTGATCAGCTCTGTGCTTCCTCATTCATCCAATCATCACCTTCTTCATCCATACATCAAAATAGCCCTGAAAACAGGAAGAACGAAGGGAAAAAACACACTGTCAGAAAGACTGACACGGGACCCAGCACTTAGTAGGTGCCAGGCAAATGTATTGAAGGAGAAACTGTCTGGAGAGACAGGTGCACACTGTTTGAATACACAGTGTTCCTGTGAGACGTCAGGTTAAATCTACATTTCAGAAACAAGCCTGCACATAGGCGACTGGACGTCTGCTATAATGTTCTCTTATTTGCAAATACTGAATTCAATCATAATACAATTTGTAACAATAAAAGAAAGCTGTTCGTGTGAGTCAAAAGCCTAAATTCTCTTAAAGAAGCTGTACTTGTCAGAAATTATCCTAACGGACTAATAAAAATGGAAATATGAAATACATTTAAGGCTATCCACAGTGTGTGTGATTGCAACCTAAAAGCACCAATGAGAAGTAAACTAAATACATAACTGGGAAATGGTAAAATACAGTGGAATACATCCATGTGAAGGGATGCCACGTAGTCATTAAAATGATAAATGAAATCTACTGACCACATATAAAACAAAATATAAAATATTATATCATTACACACAGACCCAAACACACATCCATGGTGGGGGGAGGAGAGAGAGAGAAAAAGAGAGAGAATGGTAATGGAGAGTTGACAAAAATGTTAAGAATTGTTGTTTCTCAGCCCAAATGCCCATTGACCCATGAATGGACTAACAAATTGTGGTATATGTACACCATGGAATACTATACAGCCATAAAAAAGATGGCAACTTCACATCTTTTATATTTACCTGGATGGAGCTAGAACATATATTTCTCGATGTACTCAGTACTACTATGAAATCAATATATAACCACCTATACACGCATAGGAATAGCAAAACATAACTATAGTCCAGAAAGTAGAAGGGAAGAGGTGAGAGAAGGGAAGGGACGGGGTAAATTGGAGGAGGGGGGATATGAGAGGAAGGAGGGCATCTGGGGGGACCTCACCTAATGTGCATGATGCCTAAACTGTCTTCTTCCTAAGTATACCTGTATTTTCTTCATTCTTTTTCATAATTAACATGTAGCATCATTGTGATAAGGAAAAAAATGCAATCAGATAAATATTTCACAGGGAAAAGAAGCATTTCAGAAATGTAGCTAACACATTATTAAATAAGAGAAAAATAGACAAGGTGGGGTTTTACAGGAACACAGCTGAATGGAGATGAAAAGATCTGCATTTCCATCTCAACTGCAGATAAATCACCCAAGGACTTCGAGTTGCCAATTCCTGCTGTAAAAGGAGGGCCTGGAAATCGAGGGTGCTGTTTCCTCATAGAGTTCAGATTCCATGGCATTGGCTTGAGGACAGTATTTCTTATAAATAAAATCTTATCTACACTTTTGTTTCAAAAAAATTCAGAGTTCTTTTCATATTGCTAGTTGGAACAATCTGATCTTGTTCCCGTCCTCATGCAAGATCACAGCCTAAGAGTTGCAAGTTGTTGAAAACAGCACATGTTGGTGTACAATAAGGAAAAACAAAGAAAAGTACATAAAAATTAAAACAATCTGTTATCTAAAAAGAAAGTAAAGAAAAGCAAAATGTCAAATATTTGTAATGATACAGAGGCCCCGTATTTTACTATATAAAGAGTTCTTACAAATAAATAAGAGAAACATATCCTAAGTGTCCAATGGAAATATTGACAAAGACACTAAGAATTTTTTAAACCTAGGTTACAAACAGTCAGTGCAATACTTAACATGTGCAACTACTCCAGTACCAAAAAGTAACATATATCTTCTATCATATCAGCACAATGTGTATTCATGATACTATTATATTGTTACAAAGCTGGTGGAAATATATTCCTGCATCCTGGATACTAAGTGATTTGGAGCCCAAGCAGTGCAGTACCTACCTAGGGGACAGGACCGAGGGGACAGTAAATTAATGCCACAAGGGAGAAGTACGTTATCACTGGTAATGTTTAGAACTGCCAATGTGCGGTAATAATAAAAAGCAGGTCATCTTGGAGTCAGTTTTAGTGTTTTTTCAGTTCCCTACACAATGCTCTATCATGTCACCTGCACAGGGGACAGACTACTCTCCCCACAGCCCCCTCCCATCCTTCTGATGTGCCACTGCTTCTCTAGAAGGCCGCCTAGCAGACCCAGAGTCTGTGCATGTGACCTTGTTTAGAAAAGAAGCTCTGTGTATGTAATTAAGCTCTGGATCTTGAGGTAAAGTCATCCCAGATTAAGGTGGGCCCTAAACCCAATGACAAGTCTCCTTGCAAAGGAAAAGAAAGGAAGACACAAAAAGAAGGAAGCACACAGAACCCTTGATTTCAGACGTCTGATATCCCAAACTGTGAGAGATGAAATCTCTGTTTCTTCAAGCCATCCAAATGGCAGTAATTTGTCACAGCAGCCTTAGGAAACTAATACGGTTTCCAAGATTCTTTCCTAAGGAAATATTAAAAATTCACGGAACAGTGTACACACCAGGATGTACGACAACATATAAACTAAAATTATAAAATTGTGTATGCCCTACAAACAACCAGAAATCCAGCAGCAAGGCACTGGATAAACAAACAATGATTAAGCCAGAGGTTTCCAAACCTTCTCAATTCAACCTACAAAGCAGGAAACTAAATCCTGTATGTGTGATTCATATTTCTTCCACCCAAGAAAGACTTTTATATTTACAATCAAGGTTGCTTATTTCCTTTATCCCTTTTATAGTTTTTAGTAATTTCCAACTTTTCTAAAATAAGCATGCATTAATTTTGTTGTTGTTGAGACAGAATCTCACTTCGCCCCCCTGGGTAGAGTGCCGTGGTGACATAGCTCACAGCAACCTCAAAGTCCTGGGTTCAAGTGATCCTCTTGCCTCAGCCACCCAAGTAGCTGGGACTACAGGTACCCACTACTGCAGCCAGCTAATTTTTCTCATTTTTAATAGAGACAGGGGCATCTCACTCTTGCTCAGGCTGGTCTTGAACTCCTGAGCTTAAGCAATCCACCTGCCTCAGCCTACCACAGTGCTAGGATTATAGGCAAGAGCCCCCACGCCCAGCCATGAATTTCTTAACGAACTTGACCAAAATATAATTTGTATAACATAAAATTTCTCTATTTAATTATTTACTTTTTTTTTTTTTTTATAGATTTAGCATGTCAGTGCAGTTGCATTATACCAATATGATACATGAAGTCTTGGCTTTTAGGGTAACCACCACCCTACTACGATTCATTGTACTCATTAATTTTTCTCCGCTCAGAGAAAAATTATTAGTCCACTCTCTATGATCATGTGCACATATTACTTAGCTCTCACTTATATCTTAGAACCTATGGCATTTGATTTTCTAGATTACTTCACTTAAGATGATGGCCTCCCATTCCATCCATGATGCTGGGAAAGACAGGATTTCATTCATTCTCACAGCTGAATAGTATTTTCTGTACACATACCACATTTTCATTATCCAAGCTTTTGTTGATGGACACACAGGTTGATTCCATCTCTTTGATACTGAGAACAGTGCTCTGAGAAACGTACGAGCATAGGTATCTGGTGGATATGATGATTTCTTCTCCTTTAGGTATATACCCAGGAGTGGAATTGCTGGATCATATGGTAGTTCTATTTATTTATTTATTTTTAGAGACAGAGTCTCACTATGTTGCCCTTGGTAGAGTATTGTGGCATCACAGCTCACAGCAACCTCAACGTCTTGGGCTTAAGTGATTCTCTTGCCTCAGCCTCCCAAGTAGCTGGGAGTACAGGCCACAATGCCCAGCTGTTTTTTGGCTGTATTTGGCCTGGGCTGTATTTGAACCCTCTACCCTTGGTGCATGTGGCCAGCACCTAACCACTGTGCGCCAGGCTGGTAGTTCTATTTTTAGTTCTTTGAGAAATCACAACACTCCTTTCCAGGGTAGTGGTACTAATTTATACTCCCACCAAAAGTGTATGGGTCTTCAAATTTTTTGAACAGGGGACCATTTCACTGTCCCTCAGACCGCTGGAGGGCCGGACTGCGGGCCCGGGATGATAAGCAGGACAGGCAGTGGCAGCAAAAACACCCAGCGGGCTGGATAAATGTCCTAGGCGGGCTGCATGTGGCCCGCAGGCCGTAGTTTGAGGACGCCTGGATAAGCATTCTCTTTTCTTCACAACCTTGCCGAAATCTGTTACTTTTGCCTTTTTAAAATTAGCCATTCTGACTTGTCTAAGAAGGCATCTTGTTGTAGTTTTAATCTGCATCTCTCTGATGAGCGATATTGATGATATTTTTATGTGCTTATTGGCCATTTGTATCTCTTCTTTTGTCTGTTCATGTCTTTTGCCCACATTTTAACGGGGCTATTGGGAGGGTCATTTTGTTTGTTTGTTTTTGTTTTTGGTTGGTTTTGCTGAGTTGTTTGAGTTCCTAGTAGATTCTGCATATTAGTCCTTAGTCACATGCACAGTTTTCAAATATTTTCTCCCATTCTATAGTCTGTATGTTCAGTCTGTTGATTAAAACTGACCTATTTTAAGAGTACAATTCAATGGTTTTAGTATATTTACAGAGTTAAGCAATTATCACTACATTTTAATTTTCATTGCCC